TAAGTGACTTGCCTAACCTTGTGTGGGGGAAATTTCCCTTAGGATTGGTATTGTTATGAAAATTGTGATGTATTGAAAGCCGTGTACGCGAGGTGACGAGTGTATACACGAGCTAAATGTAGAAGATTATGTCTTTAAATTGTGTAGATCTATGTCACGTATTAATTAAATTATTTTATCCTGTTATACTCATCCTCATTGGTCCACTTCTATATTTTTAAAATTTGCCTTACCTTTTTCCTGCAAGTTGCTTTACCTGTTTAGTTGAAGCTTTGTTTCATTTATTCTGTGCTCATTAATTGAAAATTAAATTTCTTAATTGAATTATTATTAATATGAAGTATTTGACATGTAGAATTTGGTATTGGGGCAAAGTATTAAAATTGTGAAATGTTATTTTGTTGAGTTATTTACTCCCGAATATTTTGCTGAGATTTTGTATACATTGTAATTGAGCCGTGAGCTCTTTATTGTGGATAATAATTTTGTTGTTGATTTATTTGGCAAGTTAAAATAATTGGGCACTTGAGGTGCAGATCGTGATATTGATACGCATGCGGTGGTATAAGGTCTGGGTGTTGAAACGCATGCGGTGAGATAAGGGTGGCTTGATACGCGTGGCTAGTAAGGGAACTACTAGAAGCCATGCGGTGTGATAAGGGTGGCTTAAACGCGGGATGCTATTTCGGAAAAAATAATTTCTTTAAAATTAAATGTGAAGGCTCCCGTGATGATATACGGAAAAGAGATATTGCGAATTTCTTTATGATTTGGGACTACGAGGCGGTACCTCGGGAGTGCCCTTGTTGATATTTTTTCTATTGGTGTACTTGCCTTGATTGTTCTGTTTTTTTCCGAATATGTAAGTTTTCTGTTTTTCTTCCGTGATGTATTATTTGCCCTTATTCTGTGCAGTTAAATTGTGACATACTCCTTACTTGATTCACTTCTATTATTATTATTATTATTATTATTATTATTATTATTATTATTATTATTATTATTATTATTATTATTATTATTATTATTTTTATTACTATTATTATTATTACTATTATTATTATTACTATTATTATTATTACTATTATTATTATTATTATTATTACTATTATTATTATTATTACTATTACTATTATTATTACTATTACTATTATTATTATTACTATTATTATTATTATTAGTAGTAGTAGTAGTAGTATTATTATTATTATTATTATTATTATTATTATTATTATTATTATTATTATTATTATTATTATTATTATTATTATTATTATTATTATATTGTTAAACTTTTCGCCTTGTCTTTTATTATTTCCAATAGGGCCCTGACATGACCTCGTCACTAATCAGTGTTCGAGGCATGGGAAAGATTCAAGGAGCTATTACGGAGGTGACCTCATAACCGAATGGAGCAATGGATGCAACTCTAGGACTTCTGGGACGGTTTAAACCTGTCATCAAGGAGATTGCTGAATAGTGTGGTCGTAGGCCCTCTGATGAAGAAGACTCATGAAGATGCAGAACAATGGTCCACTGATCAAAGGGACCAAAAAAGATCAGCAGGGGTGCACCAAGTAAAATCCTCGGTAGCAATGTAGGACCAAATTGCAGCTATGGCTAAGAACATCAAGCAACTAATGCTAGCTCAAGTGCAAAATCAACCACAGGTGAGATGTGACATCTATGGATTGGGACACCCGACACATGAGTGTCAAGCTACAACTGAGAAAGTCAACGCTGTGGGGAACTTCAACATAAGCAACTACCAAGGAGGTGGTAATTTTAATTCTATGGGATAGAGACATCCAAGGTTGTCGTGGAGTTCTTCAACTGGTAGTTTGAACTCATGGCAGCAGCAAAATCCCTGAGCACCAGTGCAAGGACCTCCTGGTTTCCAAACTCAATAGAGGCAACCATACCAACCTCCACAGCCCAACAACTCAGGTTTAGAAAATCTAATGAAAGCATTTATAAATAAATCCAATGAGAAACTTGAGACTCAAGGGACCACTATCAGGGAGCAAGGCACAACCATCCAAAATATGGAAAGACAAATGGGGCAGCTTGCAACATTGTTGTGAGAAAGGGCGCCAGGGACTTTGCCGGCAGACACTGCAAAGAATCAAAAAGAAACAATCAAAGTTGTGTCTCTCAGGAGTGGGAAAACATTAGCAAAGCCAAAGGCAAAACCAAGGGACGAAGAGGAGATCAACTTAACCAAGATAGCTGAAGAAAAGAAAATAAGAGAATCTTTGCCTAAGGAGAATGTTAGCAACAAGGATGTTGATAAGCCGAAAGTGAATAGTACAGCTGAGGACAGCAAGCACATGCCATTGTTACCTTTTCCTCAAAAGATGAAGTGGTAGAAATTAGACAATTGCTTTGGAAATTCTTGGAGATGTTGAAACAGTTGTATGTGAACATTCCGTTCACGAAGGTGCTCACACATATGACAGCCTATGCAAAATTCTTGAAGGTAATCCTCTCAAGCAAAAGGAAGCTCGAGGAAATGAAAGTGGTCAAACTCAATGCCTAATGCAGTGCCATTCTACAGAACAAAATTTCCAAGAAGTGTGGGGATCCTGGCAGTTTCACTATACCTTACTCGTTGGGTAGCGAAAAAATTGACAAAGCCTTGTGCGATTCATGTACATCTATTAACTTGTTGCTATTATAGGTGTTCAAGAAATTGGAAAGAGAGCCAGGAGTGATAAAATCTGTGCCAGTATCCTTGAAACTGGCTGATCAAACCATGATCATACTGGAGGGAATAATTGAGGGAATCCTGGTAGGGTAGACAAATTTGTTTTCCCAGTAGACTTCATCGTGGTAGATATGGAAGAAAATAAGGAAGTGCCTCTAATCATGGGGAGACCATTCCTTTGTACTGACCGGGATATTCTTGATATATATGAGGGGTAAGTCATGTTACGAGTGGGAAACGAAAAAATAGTATTTCAAATTAAGAGAATGATGAAATACCCATGTGATGAGGCATCTGCCTATGCTTGTCTCAAACATGACGTGGTGGGAGAGTTAGCTGAATAACACAAACTGGATAAGATGGTAGGTGACTCACTAGAGAGATGCATTAGTCAATCAAGCACAACAGAGGATGAATATCTTGAGATCAAGAAGGAAGTTGAGGCACTGGAAAATGAGAACCAGGTGGTAGATGAAGAAGAATTCGAGAAAGAAAAGAGCAAGCCGAAGTTGGAATTGAAAGTACTCTCGACACACTTGAAATATGCTTTTTTGGATACTAACAATTTTTCTGTGATAGTTGCTGCTGATTTGACAGGTGAACAGGAACACATGCTTGTGGAGTTACTACGGAAGCATAAAAAGGCAATCGGTTGCAGTATAGCTGATATTCATGGGATCAACCCTGCAATCTGCATGCACACGATCTTGTTAGAAGAAGGGAGTAAACCAGTGGTGCAACCCCAACGCAAATTGAACAAAAATCTTGAGGAGGTGGTTCAGAAAGAGATACTCAAATTGCTAGATGCATGCATAATATCTTCCATCTCTGACAGTCAATGGATCAGTCCTGTACAGGTTGTGCCGAAAAAAAGGGGCATGACAGTGGTAAAAAATGAGGACAACGAGCTAATTCATACCAGAACGGTTACTGGGTGGAGGATATGCATTGACTACCGGATATTAAATGATGCAACATTGAAGGATCACTTCCCTCTTCCTTTCATTGGTCAGATATTAGAGAAGGTGGCGGGGCGTGGATGTTACTGCTTCTTAAATGGATATTCAGGGTACAATCAAATACCCATTGCTCCCGAGGATGTTGAGAAAACCACCTTTACATGCCCGTTTGGAATCTTTGCATACCGGAGAATGCCTTTCGGACTATGCAATGCATCAGCTACTTTCTAGAGATACATGATGTCAATATTTTCAGATTTAAATGGGAAGTGTCTGGAGGTGTTCATGGATGATTTTACTCTATTTGGAGATGACTTTGAAGATTGCTTGAGGAACCTCGAACTTGTTCTGAAATGATGTGAGGACACTCACCTAATACTCAACTGGGAAAAGTGTCACTTCATGGTTAAGGAGGGGATCGTCCTGGGCCATAAAGTCACAGCTGAAAGTATTGAAGCCGATAGAGCTAAAGTAGACGTGATAGCCAAGTTCCTGCCACCGACCTCAGTGAAGAGCATCAAAAGTTTTTTGGGGCATGCCAGTTTCTATAGAAGGTTCATTAAGAATTTTTCCAGCATCACCAAGCCCTTGACTGCATTACTTGCCAAGGATGTAAAATTTGTATTTGATGTGGAGTGTCTCAGAGCATTCGAACTAATTAAGGAGAAGCTAGTAAGTGCCCCCATAATGGTGACTCCTAACTGAAGTGAGCCTTTTGAGATAATGTGCGACGCCAGTGATATGGCAGTAGGAGCAGTGATACGGCAGAAGAGAGATAAACTGTTCTAACCTATTTACTATGCAAGCCAGACCTTGAATGACGCTCAAGTGAACTATGCTACCATGGAGAAGGAGTTCTTTGCAGTAGTTTTTGCTTTCGACAAGTTCATATCCTATTTGGTGGGAAGCAAGGTAATAGTGCATACTGATCACTCAGCACTAAAATATTTACTGAGTAAGAGAGAGTCCAAACCGCGTCTGATGTGGTGGGTATTGTTGCTACAAGAATTTGATCTAGAAATCAAGGACATGAAGGGCACGCAAATCAAGTGGCTGACCACTTGTCGCGATTGGAGAAACCACATGTTGAAGCGATGGACATTTGGGAAGAGTTCCCAGATGAGCAAATTTTTTCCATTGCAGCAGTCTCCGATAGACCACCATGGTTCGCCGACATAGCCAACTTCTTGGCTAGTGGGTGGATACCACACGACTTAACCTCAAATCATAAAAAAAAGTTGCAAGGTGAGGTAAGATGTTATTTTTGGAATGAGCCTTTCTTGTTTAAACTGTGTGCATATGGTGTTATTCGAAGATGTGTGTCTGAATGCGAAATGGCAAGCATTCTGTCTCATTGCCACGATGGAGCAGTTGGAGGACACTATGGCAGGAATCGCACTGCAGCAAAGGTAATGGAAGCCGGTTTCTTTTGGCCTACCTTGTACAAGTACGGGAGAGTATATGTAGCTTCATGTGACAAGTGTCAAAGGGCAGGTAATATTAGCAAGAGGGACGAAATAGCTCTCAACTCCATTCTGGTATGTAAAATGTTTGACGTTTGGGGTATTGACTTCATGGGTCCGTTCCCATCGTCACACTCTTATGAGTATATCCTAGTAGCCGCTGACTACGTATCTAAGTGGGTTGAAGCAATCCCTACTAGGACCAATGATGCTCGGGTGGTGTGTGAATTCTTAAGGAAAAACATCTTTACCCTCTTTGTAACACCTAGAGTGATTATCCGTGACAATAGGTCACACTTTGTGGACAAGCAGTTTGCTACACTGCTGTCCAAGTATGGGGTCACACACAAAATGGGAACCCTGTACCATGCCCAAACTAGTGGGCAAGCCAAAGTGGCTAACCATGAACTTAAACGAATTCTCGAAAAGGTGGTTAGTGCTTCTCGTAAGGATTGGTCGGTAAAGTTGGAAGAAGCTCTATGGGCACATAAAACTGTGTTCAAAACAACCATAGGGACTTCACCATTTAAACTAGTGTATGGAATATTGTGTCACCTACCTACTGAGATAGAGCATAAAGCTTATTGGGCAATTAAGGTGCTTTAATCTTGATCTTAGTCTTGCAGGTGAACACAGGTTGGCGCAGATGAATGCATTGGAGGAGTTTAGGCTAGACGCATATGAAAATGCCCGAAGTTTCAAGGAAAAGACTAAAAGGTGGAATAATCATCTGATTAAGCCAAAGGAGTTTCATGAAGGGGACAGAGTCTTACTGTACAATAGTAGACTCAGGTTATTCTCCAAAAAATTTAAGTCTAGATGGACTGGACCGTATGTGGTGAAACATGAATCACCATATGGGGCAATTGAGATCCAGAACAAGGACGGAACGGAAGGTTTCAAAGTGAATGGGAAAAGACTAAAACCATATCTTGCTAGAGGATTTGCTCAGCAATCCTCGTGCATCAAAATCAGTTGAGGATGCCTGATTGAGTCACGCTGACGATTATAACTCAGAACTACTTCTAACTATTCTATTAGTTAGATTTTCACTTTTATTTATAGTGTAGAATCGATAGATATTAGTATATAGTATGATGTGGTAGGTGCAGGAAGGTACATGTCGCGGAAGGTAGGAATTAAGGTGTCTTAAAGACCCCTTTTGAGGGTATTTTTGTGTGACCGCGCACCTGGGGGGTCACTTTGCGCACCAGGTCGCGCAACAGGCAACGTATACGAAGCGGTACGTGCGCGGACGCACATCTGATGGGGTGACCGCGCACCGGGTCACGTATTTTTGCTAGTGTACTGCCTCAAGTGCTCGATCACATGCGCGACCACGCACCGACCACGAACCTACCGCGCATCAGGTAAGTTTTTCCCTTTTAATTTCGGACTTTCCCCTCCCAAGACCCCCAATTATAAAATTCCCTCTTTCTTTCCCCTACACTAAACAACCCTAATTCGACCCCCCTCTCACATCCTCTCTCTGTAAGACAAACAACACCGCACCACCCCCTCCTCTTCTCCCTTCACCCAACTTCACATGTTTTCTCTCCCAAGTCCCTTCAGGTAAGTGAGATGCTTTATCTCTCTCTTTTCGTAGTTATTGTATTTGATTTTGCTTGTGTTGTAGTAGATTTTTGTTTTTGTTGTCTCTCCTTTTATGCTCCATGTCTTGTGGGGTGGGAAGTCGAGTTTCACCATGGGGACTGACCATATAGTGGCTGGGTGTGACATTGGTATATCCTTAGTCTAACTAGGGCTGAAATTGAGTTATGGGGGTTAGAGACAACTATGCTTGTTATGTGTTTGTGAAATTGCCTCAATGCAATTGTGGGCGTAATGTTATGACCAAGTGTAAGGATGAAGTCTGAGTAGCCTCTCTTGGTTCGCCATGTGATTCATTAGCTAATATTTGGCGGTTTGTTGCAGGTACTATGGCGCCAACCAAGAAACGAAAAACCACAATTGCATCCACAAGTGGTCACGCGGGAACATCCCGGGCCTGAGCTTCGGCTTCTACTCGCCTGTATAATCAGAATAAATTTATCTCTTGGGAAGCCCAAGAACGATTCCAACAAAAGGCAAGCAAAAAGCCCATTCCGGAGAGGGGAATTGATATGGGGTCCCTCCAGAATGACTGTCCCCCTGTGTATCATGAATTGGTCAGGCGCGACTTGAGTATATTCTTTGAAGAAACTGACGAAGCGAACTTAATGGTTGTTCAGGAGTTTTATGCAAACTGCCCGGAACATGACGCCCATGTCTGCACAGTCATGAAGAAAAGAGTGGACTTCTCCAAAGAGGCCATCTGAAGAGCCTATCATTTGCTGAAATTCGTGGAAGATCCGGATATAGGTGACTATTATGCCACGTACGGCATAGAACCATACATGTGGAACCTGTTATTCACAACTATTTGTGTACCTGGCAAGGAGGTAGTGTGGATAAAGGAGGGTAAAAAATTTCACTCGGCTCCACTGACCTTTGAAGGGAAGTGCTGACTCTATATTATCAATAACCGCCTGCTGCCTTCAGGAAACACCATTGAGGTGAATGGTCCTCGGGCGGCTCTGTTTGGTGCTTTGTCAATGGCCATGATTTTGATGTGGCTCAGATCATTTAGGCCGAGATGTTGATTCGCTGTCTTGTGCAGAGGTATGGGTTCGTTTTTCCATCATTAGTCAATCGGTTATGCCGTGGGCCCCGAGTATCGAAAAACATGGACATGGATGGAAAAGTAAAGTGCGAACATAAATTCCGGGTTGATAAGGTTGTAATCGGGAAGGACCCTACTGGGCCCGCTGAGGCGGATAGCGAGGAATCTGATGCGCCCGAAGAGGGAAATGAAGATGTTGTTGCTGCTCCACCACATGAGCTGGATGTTGGGGTAACTTCAAGTGGCTGTTGGGACACGATAATGAGCGCTTTAGAGTAGGAGATGGCGGGGATGCATATGTCACGCCCCGACCTCGGGGAGCGCGACCAGCGCTCAACCGAGTAAACCCGGTCGAGCAAGCCTACTTTACATCAACCTCTCATCATTACTCATGCATGATTTATCAAAACATAATTAGATCTTGACTTTCATATTGAATACATTTGGCTCAATGGCCCATAAATATTTTTTCTTTTTCTCTCGTGATGAGTACATAGCTTCATAAATATATGTGAACATAAATACATGATGAAACTCAAAACTTAAGTACATGAACCACAATATACATGGAGATTCTATGACAATAGATACCTAAGTACATAAAACCAACTAGACTCTAATACCCATTAGAATTCTAGCAGGCTCACCATAATCTGTTGCGCAGAAGATCTCTATCAAAGATCCATATCATCTTGTAGAAGTATACCTGCATCCATTAAAAGATGCACCCCTGGCAAAAGGGACGTGAGTACATGTGGAATAGTACTCGCATGTAAGGCAAACAGAACAACATATGAAATCATGGTAGTTCAAATAAGAGGCATATGAAGTACATCAAGAACTACGAAATATCCCATAGATTCACATTTCAAGTCTTGTTATGCTTACATCATTTTAAACTTCGTTTAGGATTAACTAAGCCATATGAACTATGCATGGAATACATAATATAAAGTAATTGAAACAACATGTACAAAGAAGGCCAATGAAAGTGGCACCTAATGTCTGCGTTAACAATGCGTCTCACTAGACCGTCCATATCCCTCTCTTATCTTACACCTATACATTTCACTTGTGCGTTTCATAAACCGTTCACATTATTTACTTACACAATACACATGTGCATTTCATAGACCGTTCATAGTGTTTACTTACATAATACACCTGTGCATTTCATAGACCGTTCACAGTATCACCTATACATTACACATGTGTGTTTCATAGACCGTTCATAGTATCACCTATACAATACACCTGTGAGTTTAATAGACCGTTCACAGTGTTTACTTACATAATACACCTGTGCGTTTCATAGACCGTTCACAGTGTTTACTTACATAATACACCTGTGCGTTTCATAGACCATTCATAGTGTTTACTTACACAATACTCATGTGTGTTTCATAGACCGTTCACAGTATCGCCTATACAATACACCTGTGCATTTCATAGACCGTTCACAGTGTTTACTTACACAATACACCTGTGCGTTTCATAGACCGTTCATAGGATTACATATACAATGCACCTGTGCATTTCATAGACCGCTCACAGTATCACTGATACAATACACATGTGCGTTTCATAGACCGTTCACAGTGTTTACTTACACAATACACCTGTGTGTTTCATAGACCGTTCATAGGATTACATATACAATACACCTTTGTATTTCATAGACCGTCCATAGGGTTCACATAACACCTCATTATGCACATGACCATATATAAACTCAAAGCGACATGATTAACATTACATTTAAGGTCATAAGTTCCCAGATCATTGGAACACTTCATGTTCATGCTCATCATGGATAAACATATCTCATTACATTAACACATGTATGGTGAATCAATAAGTCAATTTCAATGGCACATGGCCCAAACTCGTTTTCATAAGATTCATCATCATTTAGCATAGGACATCTCCCTTTCATCTCGTTATTCACTCACTTGTCATCTTGAGGTCATTAGCTAAGTTCATTATTCTTGGGGACTTAACATCGAAGTCATATACATTTATTATTTTAGAAGCATGCATACTATGATTGAAACCATTGGGACATACAACGACTCATAATTCTTATTTTGGCAAACGACCGCATTTCATGTTCATACTATTACTTACTTGTACTTGCCATGGGTGATCATAGAACATTAAGAACATTTAAAACATTTAGGAACACCATAGCCTATCTTCATGAGGACGTAGAAGCTTATATCACATTGGAAACATAAGTACGAATACGTTCATCTCATAACCTTGCACACCATATATCACTTCATTAGCACTTTCAACTACTCACAACATCATTATTTCATTGGCTCCCTTAGCCATACATATTATTCTTAATTCATGGCACTGTGGCCGTATATCATATTCCGTACTTTTATTTCTTTACTTTCAAAGATTATCATCGTAAACATCAACATATAGATTATTCTTGAATTACCTTTTCCCCAAAAGGGCAATACACAATTTCAACTCATGAATATATAAGAGCTCTAAACACGTTGGAAATACTTACAAAGCATAGCATTAGTTGAAACAATCACATTTGGGCATGCCTTGAGTACATAGGCTTTTAGGCAAATCTATTTTCGAAGTCAATTTGGAACAGTTGAATCAAGGCTTATTTCTTAACCTTTCTCACATCATTTCATTTCATTGGCACTATTAGCCACAAGTATAACATTCATTATCGGCACGGTGGCCATACTTTATATCCCCAACTCTCTCCTTTCACTTTCAAGCATCTTTATAGATTATCAATAACAAAACATCTCTAATCACGGTTTTCATTACACACATGAGTAATTAAGAACCTTAAGCACATCGAGATTTCTTACATAATTTCGCATACTAGCCTTCATTTGAAACGCGACTTGAAGTAGAAACATTTCTAATGCACATCCCATACATTGAACACATTATCAAATGATAACATAACATGATAAAAGCAATTGGGATACATATCAAACATATATCTTTCAACACAATCTTATTTGGAAATCGGAATAGCCAATTTTATAATGAACAACTCGAGACTTACATAAATTACATGAATACCGTGGGATTCAATTCTAAGAGAGGAGTTTAGCCAACATACCTCAAATCCGTCCCTTAATGATACTACAATGATCCACTATACTAAGCAACTTCATTCTACAATAACAACATCCAATGGGACCAATATTAGTAACAAATTTCATAATTTAAGCCATTTAGGCACTTTATCAAACACCTGGTAGGCATGAATCTCTACATCTCTTAACCATAGAATTAGTTCATCCAACTACTACCATTTACCAACAATTTATCCCACCATCATTCTTAAATAATTCATGACTTCCAACATCACATAAATGACCATCCATCCACACCCAACCAATAAACTTCCATCAAATAATCACCTTTCAATCTCTACAATGGTTATGTATTTAAATTGGAAACTTATGGCTTTCAATCACCATACCATAAGTTTCAATACTTAATTCATACTCATATAACCATAATATATCCATACATGTAAGTCTAAGGGTGTAGGATTACCTTTTGGAAGAAATCGTGCGAAACCCTTCTTTGAGTTCTTGAAGAAAATTCTTGAAGATCTATGTATTTTATGGAGGATTGAGTTAGTTTTAGGGTGGAATTGATGGAATGAGACACAAAATTAGTAGGGATTACTCACCTTGAAGATGGGGAGAGTTGGAGGTCTTGAGAGAGTGGAGGAAACCCCAAATATTCGGCCAAGAGGAATGGGGAAAAATAAACCCCGAAATGAGTATATAATGTTTCGAGCGCCATAGGTGGCGTGGGGCGCTGCCTGTGGTGCTGGTTCCAGAACCTTAAGATTCCCAGTGCCAGGGATAGTGCCCCACGCTACACTGGGCACTGGCGATGGGAAATCGTTTCTATTTCGCCCGAAAATGGGCATAACTCTCTCATATGATGTCTGAATTCGACGTTTCTTTTTGCTGTGGCTCCGTAACTTCCATACGGATCTAATAAATTAATAAAAACGGAATTTGGAGCTCATTTGCTCAATGTGATACCACTTATACTTGATAAAATGACGTCGAAACATCCTACAAATATCCAAATTAAATTCCGGGCATACGCCCGAGTACAAAATCACCATCCGGATATAACGGAATCATCAAAACTCCATCCGAGGTCGAATACAAAAAAACTCAAACTTTGTCATAATACATCATATGAAGTTACTCAAGACTTCAAATAGTATAAAGGAGCATAAATGTTCAAAACGACAAGTCGGGTCGTTACAACATACTTCTGTCACTGATTTGGGTACTCGAGTGGACGCCCTTGCTACAGAAGAAGATCATGGCAGGGCTGCGTGCACTTGGCCGGGCTTGTCATTTAGACCCCGGAACCGTCTCCCACACTGACTGACTTGATCAGGGGAGTTTTCTTCACCTTTGCATTTTTCTTTGTATGTCATGGGGGCATGCCACCATTTAAAGTGTGGGGTGGGGAATATTTGTATGTTGTATGTATATCAGTTTTGTTTTTGGTAGTTGGGGTTTGTTGTTGTTTATCTCAGTAGCTAGGGATAGATGAAAGAACAAAACTACATAAAAATTTTAAAATTTTTGATTTTTCCCAACGATGGATATCATTCGACGGGTTTCT